AGATTCTCTTCAATCAGTGATTGATCTTCACAGCACTTTCAACAGCAGTATCAGCTGATCTCTTCTTAAGATCAGTCATTCTGAGGTGTTTTTTCATCTTAAAGACTTATACTTTCATCTTCTTTTACAGATAAGCAAGAGAGACCTTCTCAGTCTTGATAAAATCTGTCAATACTTGAAGCTCTGAGACTCTCACTCTGTACTGCTTAAGTATCTAGACTTCTTATCAGAGCTGACACAATATCTTTCTGTGAAGTAATACTTACAGAGAGACAGAAGTCATTGTTACAGATACAATGAAAATAATAAGAGTGAGAGAAGAGATGAGTGTATAAAATTCTCTTCTTCTTCAGCTACTTAATACAGTGCAGATAAGTAGTAATATTAGTCAGAGACTGCACTGAAGTCTTCTTACAGAGAGAAGATGAAGAAACTGCAGAATTCTGCAGACTCAACTCAGCAGCATTTCAAGCAGGGCTCAGATGTGCAGAAGAGAAACTATGAATTGAGCTTCTCAGAGTTACTATCTCTGAAATCAAGCTCTCTTCAGGTTTCTCTCTAAATGATCACATGAGGTCATACACCACTGTATTAGCTGAGAGAGAGGGCGACATTGCAACAGTGACAGAGAGAGCAGAGAACAGACTGAACACAAACACATCAGCCAGCAGAAGAGACAACATCTCACTACACAGTGCAGCTACTATTAGACTGGCCGCCGGGACCATGAATTTCATGTTTGGTCCCATTTGGTCTGATCTCATACATTTCTTGGCGTGAATCCCGCTGGGACTGGCTATCAAAAAAACATGCAAAGTGACTCTATATCAGATTTTAAAATGAGACCATGACTTGAAAAAAATGAGAAAGTGATCTCATTTGATCTCATTTAGTCTTATTCTTGGCATAAAGTTACTATTTTTAGACATTTTAAGGTTTTTTTTAGACTATTTTTAATTTTTTAAAAAGTAACACTTTTTGGTAACACTCAAATGAGATTTAAAGCCATTTAAAGCAATAAAAATAATTTAAATTGAGAAGTGGAAATCATGGTCCCATTTGGAAAATGTGACAAGAGTAGACAGTAAGTCTCACTGAGACAGTATGAAACAACTATCTAATGTTAGAACCGTGTAATGGGATCTGTCGAATTGACAATGAAACTATCAAAAATTCTGGTCCTGGTCCCAGACACGGTCACACGGTCAGTCTAGCTACTATCATCACAGCTGTAAGAGATGCAGAAGAGAGAGAAGATGTGACAATGAGAGCAGTGCTTCTACAGCTCATTGACACTGTCTCTGCCTTCAACCTGGCTTTCTTAACAGTCATAAAGGCCGCAGCCACACCACAAAGACATTTACTCACTAGAAAATGTCAGAATAAGTTCTTGATTATTCTTCAAGAATGATACTCTTATACACTCACTATTATAATTGAGAGAGAGGGAAGAAAAATGTTTCACAGAGAGAGAGATCTTTTTAAAAAATCCTGTCACTACTGTTAGCTTTATCTCTAAAAATACATCACTTTTGCAGGGAATTTCATACATAGAATGAAATATGTTGAAAGATCTGCAAGTCACTTGTTAACTATGTTTTTCACATTTCAAATCAATATATAAGAAACCCACTTATCACATGTTTGATTTGAATGAAGATGAGAAAGAAAGATCTACACAGTCAGTAGAAAAACTCATCTATTTCTTTATATCACATGCAGTATATATGCTGTTAATCAGTTGATAACTATTGCTATATAATAAAGATAATTTCTAATCTGATAATCTTGAGAGTATAGAGACTATGCTCTTAAAGAGAAGAGTATTATTATACTTTCAGTTATATCAAGGCCTCATTGCAGTTTTACACAGCTCATTGCTTTCATACAGATGATTTCATTCTATTTGAACTGGTTTTCAATCACTCTATAATATCATTCAGATATATCATAGAAAGATCTGATTAATGAATATAAGAACCTCACTTTTATATGAGATCAGCAGATTACTCTTTCTTGATAATGAGATATCACTGAGGTATCACTTCAGCTATTCTTACTCATGAAATGAGAGAAGAGTATTCACTCATTATCTATATAGAATAGCTAGATGCTGGCTTCTCATTAAAGAAGTCAGTGATTCATTTTTCTTCTACTGAAATATATACAAGAGATACTATGTGTCTTATACAATATTCTTAGTATACTAAGTATCATATCTGTGATATCCTCGCAATAACCCTGTAGCCTATGAGCTCACTATTCAAGTAAGATAGTCAAGCTCACTCATACGGCTTCTCAAACAACTACTTCTACATGACGCCGCCGACTAGCCACCGCTTCGGTTCCGCCACGTTACAGAAAGGCTTTCAGTGTCAACTGTGAAAAGATTTCATAGATTTCATTCTCAGATACATCAGTCTCACACTGACTGAATAAATCAGAATTAAAGTGATTCAGTATTATAATATCTGTAAAAGCTTGTTTCAATTCTGCAAATGCCTGAACAGTGTCTTGAGTGAGAATAAATGATTCTGTTTTTCTATCTTTCACACTTCTCTTTAACAGATCTGTAAGAGAGACAGTAATCTGTGAATATATATAGATGAATTATCTGTAGAAATTTATAAACTCTAGAAACATCTATATCTCACAGTATATTTACAGTATTAGTCAGTTCTCAATGACAGAGACTCAGCTTCTGTTTATTGAAATGCTATTCATCTCAATAATATAATCTAAGAAATCAATCTTCTGCATGTAGAATGAGCATTTTTCAGTGTTTGTATAGAGTTGATACTGTCTCAAGTGACTTAACACTTCTTGAACATGAGTATCATGTTCTTTCTCTGATTTCAAGAAGATTAGAATGTTATTCAGATATACTATGTAGAAGACATTGACAAGGCTCTGCAGTGTCTTATTTATATAGATCTGAAAGATGACTGAAGTATTATAAAGATTAAAAGATAAAACAAGATATTCAAAATTACTGTACTTGATATGAAAAGCTGTTTTTCAAATATTATCTTCATTAACTCTGATTCTATAATAGATATTTTATATATCAAGTTTTGAGAATATCTTTGCTTCAGATAATTAATTGATCATCTTGTTAATTAACAGTAATAAATAGTAATTCTTAACTATCATTTTATTAAGACCTCTGTAGTCTATACATAGACATAGTCTATTATTCTTCTTAAATATAAAGAGTATAGATGTCTCTGCTGAACTCTTTAATAAATATATTCAGTTCTTTGATTACACTTCTTCAAGATATTTGCACAGAATATTCAATTTCTTTACAGATAAGTTATAAAGAGATCTGTACAGTATCATTACACTGTCTTTAAGACAAATCTTATATTATATCTTGATATTAGAAAACTTCACTACTTCTCTTTCTGAAAAGACATTCTTATAATCTGTAAAGAGATATTATATATATCTGTCTTCAATGATGAATACTGCTACTAATCTTGCAGTGAGAGTGATGACTAGACTGGCCGCTGAGACCATGAATTTCATGTTTGATTTCATTTGATCTAATCTCATACATTTCTTGGCGTGAATTCCGCTGGGACTACCTATTAAAAAAACATGCAAAGTGACTATATATCAGATCTTAAAATGAAATCATGACTTGAAAAAAATGAGAAAGTGATCTTTTTTGATCTCATTTAGTCTCATTCTTCACATAAAGTTACTATTTTTAGACATTTTAAGGTTTTTTTTAGACTATTTTTAATTTTTTAAAAAGTAATGCTTTTTGATAATGCTCAAATAAGATTTAAAGTCATTTAAAGCAATAAAAATAATTTAAATTGAGAAGTGGAAATCATGATCTCATTTGAAAAATGTGACAAGAGTAGACAGTAAGTTTCACTGAGACAGTATAAGACTACTATCTAATGTTAAAACCATGTAATGAGATCAGTCAAATTGATAATAAGACTATTAAAAAATCTGGTCCTGATCTCAGTGTAAGAAATTGTAACATGGCGGAACCGAAGCGGTGGCTAGTCAGCGGTGACACGTAGAGGTAGTTGTTTGAGAAGCTGTATGAATGAGCTTGACTATCTTGCTTAAATAGCGAGCTTGTAGGCTACAGAGTTATTGCGAGAATATCACAGATATGATACTTAGTATACTAAGAAGATTGTATAAGGCATGCAGTAACTCTTGTGTATATTTCAGTAGCAGTAAAATGAATCACTGACTTCTTTGATGAGAAGCCAGCATCTAGCTATTCTATATAGATAATGAGCAGATACTCTTCTTTCATTTCATGAGTGAGAATAGCTGAAGTGATACCTCAGCAGTGCCTTATTATCAAGAAAGAGTAATCTGCTGATCTCATATAGAAGCAGAGTTCTCATATTTATCAATTGAATCTTTCTATGATATATCTGAATGATGTTATAGAGTGATTGAAAACTAGTTCAGATGAGATGAAATCATCTGTATGAAAGTGATGAGTCATGTGAAACTGCAACAGAGTCTTGATGCAGTCAGAAGTATGATAATGCTCTCTTCTTTAAGAGTATAGTCTCTATGCTCTCAAGATTATCAGATTAGAAATTATCTTTATTATATAGCAACAGTTGCTAACTGATTAACAGTGTATATACTGTATATAATATAAAGAAATAAATGAGTTTTTCTGCTGACTGTGTAGATCTTTCTTTTCTCATCTTTGTTCAAATCAAACATGTGATAAGTGAGTTTCTTATATATCAATTTGAGATAAAGAAAACATAGTTAATAAGTGACTTACAGATCTCTCATCATATTCTGTTCTATATATGAAATTCTCTGCAAAAGTGATGTATTTTAGAGACAAAGCTGACAGTAGTGACAGGATTTTTCAAAAAGATTCTCTCTCTGTGAAACATTTTTCTTTTCCCTCTCTCAATCATAACAGTGAGTGCATGAGAGTATCATTCTTGAAGAATAATCAAGAACTTATTCTGATATTTTCTAGTGAGTAAACATCTTCATGATGCAGCAGTGGCCTCTGTGACTGTCAAGAAAGCCAGATTGAAGACAGTAGTATCAATGAGCTGTGAGAGCACTGCTCTCATTGTCACATCTTCTTCTGCTTCTCTTGCAGCTGCAGTGGTTCTGCTGATCAGTGTGTCTGTGTCCGATCTATCTCCTGCCCCCCTCACCGCCATTGCAACACTGCCCCCCCTCTCAGCCAATACAGTGGTGTATGACTCTGTGTGGTCATTTGGAGAGGAACCTGGGGAGAGCTTGATTCTGAGGACAGTGGCTTCAAGAAGCTCAATCTATAGTTCCCCTTTCACAGCACACTCAAGCCCTGCTCAGAATGCTGCTGAGTTGAGTCTGCAGAGTCTCACAGTTTCTTCATCTTCTCTCTGTGAGAAGGCTTTGATACAGTCTCTGACTGGCACTGCTACTTGTCTGTACTGTGTCAAGCAGCTGAAGAAGAGAAGGATTTTATACATTTATTTCTTCTCTCACTTTCATTGTTTCTGTTACACTCACAACAACAACTCCTGTCTCTCTGTAAGTATTATCTCACAGAAAGATATCATGTCAGTTCTGATAAGAAGTCTAGATGCTCAAGTAGTACAGAGTGAGAATCTCAGAGCTTCAAGCATTGACAGATTCTGTTAAGACTGAGAAGATCTCTCTTACTCATCTGTAAAAGAAGATGAAAGTATGAGTCTCTGAGATAAAAAAACATCTCAGAATGACTGATCTTAAGAAGAGATCAGCTGATACTGCTGTTGAAAGTATCACAGAGATTAATCACTGATTGAAGAGAATCTTGCTTCAGTTGAAGTAGATGACTGAGATGCTTTATAAGTTAATAAATTGATACTTTCAGTATCTCTTATACTCTTCTACAGCATACTCTTCTGTAATACTGCAGTACTAACTTCTCAGCAGATAAAGATACTGATACTGAAGACTTCAATAGTGAAGAATGAGTTTGATAAGAATGTGATTATTAATAAGTAGATTCTGATTCTTCTTTTTACTTTTTCAGTGAGCTGCAGCTCTATTAGAATAGTAGCAGTCTGCAGATCAATAATATTAATCTTTTTATTAATTTTCAATATTTCTTTTCTCTAATCACTTCAGGAATTTTATACTTATGTAGTCTTATTAAACTTCTAAAAACTCTTTGAAAGAAAATAGAAGAAGAGTGCTACAGAGTCTACAAGATATCAGCTCATTACTGTGAGATCATCTCTAAAAAAACCCTTTGAGAAAAATGAGAAGTTTCAAGCAGTATTTCTTACTCAATATCTCTGATATGTAATGAGATAATCTCTACTAGCTGTCTCATAGATTGCAATCTCTTTCTCAGTATTTTTCAAATACTCAAGCAGTTTCTATGAATTCTCTGATAATGAATAATCTTCTCATTTAATGAGATATTGAAGCTTACTGTAATATATTTACTTGTTCAATATTTTCTTCATAAGATATTTAGTATCACTCTCAATCTCAATATCATTCAGCTGAGACAGCTCCGTCCCAGAGTGTTGCTTATAGAGCTTTAAATAGAAAATGTGAAAAATAGAATGAATTGATTTCAATTCTGTGAGTAATTTTAACTTATATATCTGTTTACTCATCACTCTTGTTACTGAGAAAGATTCTAGTCACTGCTTACTGAGCTTCTTACACAGTCTCATTGTCTTGATATTCTTTGCTGAAAGTAGTACTTGATTCTCTATTAAGAACTTCATCAGAAGATGTTTTCAATTGTAGTATTTTATCTACTGCTTCTGAGTGTGATGAATGCTTTTCACTGTCTTCTTATGAATTTTGTTCAAAAGTTTCAATCTCACTTTTACTTCTGATACTGAGAAATACTCTGTTCTCTGTATCTGTCTGACATTCTGACTGTCTATTTTCCTCTTTGAAATGTCATCCGTGACATCACTGAGTAATGAAGGATTATATTCATAATAAGCATAGAAAGAAGATATCTTTAAGATTGCATTCTTTGTATTGTTATATATGAATTCAGTGATCAGAAGATGTTTGAGTCAATCATTCTGATAATATAAACAGAACACTCAAAGATGCTGTTCTAGTGTCTGATTCTGACATTCAGTCTGATCATCAGTCTGTGAATGAAATGCAGTACTGAGAAGATGCCTTATTATAAGATGATAGTAAAAAGTTAATCAGTACTTGCTGATAAAGAGAGATTCTCAATCTGTTATTAATAATTTCAGAGCATCATGATCACAAATGATGATATCTAAAAACAGATCAGTCAATTCAGAGACTTTAATCTTTTTATGAATAGAAATATATCTGATCATCTTTGTGAAGCAGTCAACAATGATCAAAATTGAGTCATATTCTTTGACTCTTGTCAACTTCAGCAGATCAACTATGAAATTCATCAATAGATTCTGTCATAGACTCTTTGAAACAGGCAGTGATATTAACTCACTGTATTACTTATACTGTGAGATCTTTATTCTTTGATAGATATTATAAGTCTTAACATACTCTTTGACATCTGTTCAGAGCTTGTCTCAAGTGTATTTATATTTTAGAAGCTTCTCAGTCTTCTCTAACCTGAAATGTCTTATATGGAAATCATTATAATAAATTCTCAATAACTTCTGATGCACTGTTCTGCTATGAGAGATGAAGACTGAATCATTCAGCAGTAGAAGTTCACATTCTTCTAGTTACTAGTAACTTGATTCCTTAGCAGCACTGCTCTGCTCAGAGTCTGTCTCTTTCAAGTTCAAATCAGACTCTTTCTTCTTTAACTTCTGAATTCAAGCTGCAGTAGAGATATCTCTCTTCTATAACTTATCAATGAATTTCAAAAGTAGTCAGATTGAAAGATTGTAGACTATTTCATTCTTTGCCAATTCAATGATTGTAAGATATGACATGAGAAGCTCATGATCTTCAGTGTCAGTCTTCTATGAGAATCTGAGTTCTCTTCCACCTTCTATACTGAGTCACACAGCTGCCTCTCTGGCACTGTTTCTAAGCTTTAGAGAATCTCAATCCTCTGCAGCCAGCTTCTTCTGCAGTGATGATAGAGGTTCTTTTATAGAATTCTTCTCTGCATTAACAATATTATAATCAGGCTGTCTAGACAGCATGTCAGCAGAGTTAAGCTGATCTGAACAGTATCAGATATAGAAATCATACTCTGAAAGCAGCTCTACTCACCTGACTTGACATTCTATCAAGCTCTTTGTTGTCAAGAAGTAATACAGATTTGCATGATTAGTGAGGACTTGCACTGAGTACTTACTATTCTGAAGATAATATTATCAGATCTTAAAGAATTTGACAATTACTAACATCTTCTGATCATGAGTATCATACCTTCTCTGTGTGAGTGATAACTTCTTGAAGAAGAAGACTACTGATCTTCATTCACAGTGTCTTATAGACTCTGTGAAAAAGTCTTCTCTCACAGATAATTCATTGTCTGTTTTCTCAGAGATGATTATCTTCTGATTCTTTTAACATTGAAAGATCTTCAGTATCAACTGTGAAAAGATTTCACAGATCTCATTCTCAGATACATCAGTCTCACACTGACTGAGTAAGTTAGAATTAAAATGATTCAGTATCATGACATCTGTGAAAGCTTGTTTCAATTCTACAAATGCCTGTGTGATGTCTTGAGTGAGAATAAACAGTTTTATTTTCCTGTCTTTCACACTTCTCTTCAACAGATCTGTAAGAGAGGCAGTAATCTATGAATATACATAGATGAATTGTCTGTAGAAATTTGCAAATTCTAGAAACATCTGCATCTTGCAGTATGTCCGCAGCACTGGCTAGTTCTCAATGATGAAGACTCAGCTCCTGTTCATTGAAATGTCATTTATCTTAATAACATAATCTAAGAAATCAATCTTCTGCATGTAGAATGAGCATTTTTCAGTGTTTGTATAGAGTTAATGCTGTCTCAAGTAACTCAACACTTCTCAAACATGAGTATTATGTTCTTTCTCTGTTTTTGAGAAGATTAAAATGTTGTTCAGATATACTATACAGAAGATGTTAACAAGGCCCTGCAGCATCTCATTTATATAGACCTGGAAGATGGCTGAAGTATTACAAAGATTAAAAGATAAAACAAGATATTCAAAATTGTCATACTTGGTATGAAAAGCTGTTTTTTAAACATTGTCTTCATTAACTCTGATTCTATGATAGACATTCTGTATATCAATCTTTGAGAACATCTTTGCTTCAGATAATCAATTGATCATCTTGTTAATTAATAGTAATAAATAGTGATTCTTAACTGTCATCTTATTAAGACCTCTGTAGTCTATACATAGGTGTAGTCTATCATTCTTCTTGAGTACAAAGAGTATAGATGTCTCTGCTGAACTCTTTGATAAATGTATTCAGTTCTTTGATTGTGCTTCTTCAAGATATTTGCACAGAACATTCAACTTCTTTACAGACAAGTTGTAAAGAGACTCATACAGTGCTGTTACACTGTCTTCAAGATGAATCTTATATCATATCTTGATATCAGGAAACTTCACTACTTCTCTTTCTGAAAAGATATTCTTAAAATCTGTAAAGAGATGTTGTATATATCTATCTTCAATGACAGATACTGCTGCTAATCTTGCAGTGAGAGTGATGACTTCTTCATCTGTTTTCAAGTTTCAATCACCTGCTATACAGTATATTGACTCAATCTTTTTCTCAAGATTCTTCTGATGAAACTCTTCAGATTTCTCTATCACTGTCTCTTCATTAGTGAGGTGATACTATCACACCTGAGTGACTCAGTCAATGAGAGAATTGTTTTCTCTTAATTATGAAAGATCTAGAATGACATTCTCATCTATGATGTTAACTGTGTGAAGAAGCAGACTGCTCTTCTTGAAGATTTCTTCTAAGTCTGTGATCATATACTTTGCTTAGATTATGCTAAAATAATAATATTTTATTTCATCTGTAAATTTCACATGATCTGATGAATCTATCTTCTTTCAACTCTTTATCAAAGAAAAGGAATAGAATATGAAGTTAATATTCACTTCAGAGTTAAGTAGGCATCTCACTGATATCTTCTCATTCAGAGTATGCATTGTGATTGTAATATGAACTTGAAGATATGAGAATTATTAATTCTTTTCTTTCTCTTCTTTATCTTCTGTGAATACATTTATCAGAAGAG